GTTGGTGGGGGTAGGGTTTGGATTTCGCTGACTATGAGGGTTCTTACTTCCCCCACCTCCTGTCGTATCGAAAAAACCGCGACGGGAGGTTTTGGGCAATTTTCGGTCTCTTGGGGCCTTCACCGGGCCCCAGGAACATCAACAAAAAGATTTTGGACGAAGAGCAGGTCCTGGGGAAGCGGTCCAGACCTCTGGGGCGCACTTGTGAAAAAATCACCACGTCGGCGTCCTGGGTTCCCATGAGGCCGGGGCACTGGGTATAGGGTGAGCGAGCCAGTCGACGGTTGGCTGTCTAGCGCAATCTTTTCTGATGGGAGCAGTTTCTTTCTCACCCACAGCCGCTGCCCTGGAGGCCGGAACGGGTTCCTGCCATGGGCCATGGCCGACCCGAGCGGTCGCATTTTTGATGCTGCATTCTACTACCCATCCCCCAGAGGCAACGAGAGGGGGGGATGAGCGCAGGAGGGAACGCATTGGCCCCCAATCGCCCATTCATCGCCGATAGGGGCCCAGTAGTCCCACCACGCCCAGCGACTTTCCCAGACCTCCGACATGATTTTTTCACACCGTCGACCCCCAGAGGTCCCGACCCATGCCCCGGGACCGGTTTCTCATCCCGAGTCGTTTTTTGTCGCTCCCGAGGCCCGGCGAGGGCCCCCAAATGCCGAACATGGCAAAAAGCCTCCCGTCCTGATTTTTTTCATTGCTCGATGGGGGTCTGGGATTCGCGATCGGGGGGCCATCGCCGATCTGTCGGCGATGCATCGCCAGTTCCATGTCGATGCTTCCCCCCGACAGCAGATCCAACCCTTGTCGTTGCCCCTGACCTCCGCGGCCGCCCTCTGCCTCGCCTCGCCTTCGTTCGGTGTGCTGATTTGCCGTCTTGCATTCAGTCGGGCCCTTCCCTCTACAGGGGGAATATTCAAACATAGTTAAAAATTAGCCTGGCGAAGGACCCAACCATATGCAGTTGTGAATGCCGCAATTGTGCTGGGTGGTGGCGGACGCATGCGGGCGGTGCCACTGGGACCTTCGGTGGAGCTCCCTATGGGGCCACGAAACGCCGCACTGGGTGGGTGAGACGCGGTCAGCAAGGGCTGTGCTGCGTGGTGGCGGACGCATGTGAGCGGTGCCACTGGGACCTTCGGTGGAGCTCCCTATGGGGCCACGAAACGCTGTACTGGGTGGGTGAAACGCAGGCAGGGAGCAAGGGCTGTGCAGGGTGGTGGCGGACGCATGCGGGCGGTGCCGCTGGGACCTTTGGTGGAGCTCCCTATAGGGCTACGAAGCGCTGTTCTGGGTGGGTGAAGCGCAGGGAACAAGGGCTGTGCTGGGTGGTGGCGGACGCAAGCGGGCAGTGCCACTGGGACCTTTGGTGGAGCCCCCTATGGGGCCACGAAACGTGCGAGGGGTGTGCCAGAATGGGGTGTGGAACCGCATGCCAGCGCAGCCACTGGGGCCTTCGGTGGAGCTCCCTATGGAGCCACGAAGCGTGTGAGGGGTGTGCCGAAATGGGGGGTGGAACCGCATGCGAGCGCAGCCACTGCGGCGTTCGGTGGAGCTCCCTATGGGGCCACGAGACGTGTGAAGGGCGTGCCGAAAAAGGGGGTGGAACCGCATGCGAGCGCAGCCACTGGGGCCTTCGGTGGAGCTCTCTATGGGGCCACGAACCGTGTGAGGGGTGTGCCGAAATGGGGGGGGGAACCACATGCGAGCGCAGCCACTGGGGCGTTCGGTGGAGCTCCCCATGGAGCCACCCACGAAGCGTGTGAGGGGTGTGCCGAAATGGGGGGTGGAACCGCATGCGGAGCGCAGCCACTGGAGCGTTCGGTGGAGCTCCCTATGGGGCCACGAAACGTGTGAGGGGTGTGCCAGAATGGGGGGTGGAACCGCCTGCGGGCGCAGCCACTGGGGCCTTCGGTGGAGCTCCCTATGGGGCCACGAAACGTGTGAGGGGTGTGCCAGAATGGGGGGTGGAACCGCATGCGGGCGCAGCCACTGGGGCCTTCGGTGGAGCTCCCTATGGGGCCACGAAACGTGTGAGGGGTGTGCCAGAATGGGGGGTGGAACCGCATGCGGGCGCAGCCACTGGGGCCTTCGGTGGAGCTCCCTATGGGGCCACGAAACGTGTGAGGGGTGTGCCAGAATGGGGGGTGGAACCGCATGCGGGCGCAGCCACTGGGGCCTTCGGTGGAGCTCCCTATGGGGCCACGAAACGTGTGAGGGGTGTGCCAGAATGGGGGTGGAACCGCATGCGGGCGCAGCCACTGGGGCCTTCGGTGGAGCTCCCTATGGGGCGAAATGCGAGCGCAGCCAGCGTTCGGTGGAGCTCCCCATGGAGCCACCCACGAAGCGTGTGAGGGGTGTGCCGAAATGGGGGGTGGGACCGCATGCGAGCGCAGCCACTGGAGCGTTCGGTGGAGCTCCCTATGGGGCCACGAAACGTGTGAGGGGTGTGCCAGAATGGGGGTGGAACCGCATGCGGGCGCAGCCACTGGGGCCTTCGGTGGAGCTCCCTATGGGGCCACGAAACGTGTGAGGGGTGTGCCAGAATGGGGGGTGGAACCGCATGCGGGCGCAGCCACTGGGGCCTTCGGTGGAGCTCCCTATGGGGCCACGAAACGTGTGAGGGGTGTGCCAGAATGGGGGGTGGAACCGCATGCGGGCGCAGCCACTGGGGCCTTCGGTGGAGCTCCCTATGGGGCCACGAAACGTGTGAGGGGTGTGCCAGAATGGGGGGTGGAACCGCATGCGGGCGCAGCCACTGGGGCCTTCGGTGGAGCTCCCTATGGGGCCACGAAACGTGTGAGGGGTGTGCCAGAATGGGGGGTGGAACCGCATGCGGGCGCAGCCACTGGGGCCTTCGGTGGAGCTCCCTATGGGGCCACGAAACGTGTGAGGGGTGTGCCAGAATGGGGGGTGGGACCGCATGCGGGCGCAGCCACTGGGGCCTTCGGTGGAGCTCCCTATGGGGCCACGAAACGTGTGAGGGGTGTGCCAGAATGGGGGGTGGAACCGCATGCGGGCGCAGCCACTGGGCCTTCGGTGGAGCTCCCTATGGGGCCACGAAGCGTGTGAGGGGTGTGCCAGAATGGGGGGTGGAACCGCATGCGGGCGCAGCCACTGGGGCCTTCGGTGGAGCTCCCTATGGGGCCACGAAACGTGTGAGGGGTGTGCCAGAATGGGGGGTGGAACCGCATGCGGGCGCAGCCACTGGGGCCTTCGGTGGAGCTCCCTATGGGGCCACGAAACGTGTGAGGGGTGTGCCAGAATGGGGGGTGGAACCGCATGCGGGCGCAGCCACTGGGGCCTTCGGTGGAGCTCCCTATGGGGCCACGAAACGTGTGAGGGGTGTGCCAGAATGGGGGGTGGAACCGCATGCGGGCGCAGCCACTGGGGCCTTCGGTGGAGCTCCCTATGGGGCCACGAAACGTGTGAGGGGTGTGCCAGAATGGGGGGTGGAACCGCATGCGGGCGCAGCCACTGGGGCCTTCGGTGGAGCTCCCTATGGGGCCACGAAACGTGTGAGGGGTGTGCCAGAATGGGGGGTGGAACCGCATGCGGGCGCAGCCACTGGGGCCTTCGGTGGAGCTCCCTATGGGGCCACGAAACGTGTGAGGGGTGTGCCAGAATGGGGGGTGGAACCGCATGCGGGCGCAGCCACTGGGGCCTTCGGTGGAGCTCCCTATGGGGCCACGAAACGTGTGAGGGGTGTGCCAGAATGGGGGGTGGAACCGCATGCGGGCGCAGCCACTGGGGCCTTCGGTGGAGCTCCCTATGGGGCCACGAAACGTGTGAGGGGTGTGCCAGAATGGGGGGTGGAACCGCATGCGGGCGCAGCCACTGGGGCCTTCGGTGGAGCTCCCTATGGGGCCACGAAACGTGTGAGGGGTGTGCCAGAATGGGTGTGGGAGGGGGAGGAGGGGGGAGGAAGGGGAGGAGGAGGAAGGAGGAGGAAGGAACGCGGGGCGACGTCTCTTCAAAACGAGGACCCAACACCACAGGATGGTTGGGAAATAGCCTGGGAACTATTTTTTTGATTATTTTTGAGCATTTCCAGGGTATTTTTAGGGGGGGGTATTTTTGATTTTCCGTCGAAAATCCTCCTGTAGGGAGACACGCCCGACTTAAGTCTTGCATCCCATGAGTGGCTCGGGCGCGCCGCGCGACCGCCGGCGCCGCGACAACAAGTCTGCTGCTGCCTATGGGGCGGCCCCCCAGGATAGGTACCCGCAGCAGGCATCGCATGATGCTGATGCTGAGTATGCCATTGATCTGGTGCCATCATGCTCTCTTAGACTAGTGTTTTTTTACGTTTGTTGCGCCTCCTCTGTTCATTGTTTATCGTTCGACGGCTTGGGAGCGCGAGGCTAATGAATCCGCCGATTCCTAGTCAAGCAGGGTGCACAATGTCACCCGTGTACGGTGGCGGCTGCCATAGAGTTGGCAGGTGCTACTGGCAGTCGATGCGGGCCCGTGGGCAGCACAGCAGGAGATGTCGCGAATTGACCACGGGTGGGAGGGTGCCAATGAGCTCTATCCGTGCCTCTTACGCCCCTTACCGACCTTGCTGGTAAGACGGCTTGCACTAGGCAGAGGCTGTTTTTTGTCTTTTGCGATTTCCAGCCAGACTGATCCTGAGCTCGCGGTACATGAAATTGTAACAAAGTCCCATCAGGATGGCCTTGGTATTTCAAGCTGATGGGTGCTCTGTTTTGTCGGGCAGTCCCTTGGCAGTCTGCATATCATGTGACAGCTCCGCCTGGGGATGGTTGCAGAACCTTGCGAATCCCTGCCACCCGCCGACACCCGCCTTGACAAAAATGGGGAGCATCGGGACGAGGGACAGTTTCCCGGGTGGGCCCCGCTGATGATGAGGAGGAGGAGGCGGAGGAGGAGGAGGAGGAGGAGGAGGAGGCGGAGGAGGAGGAGGAGGCGAAGGAGGAGGAGGGTGGACGAGAGTGGGCACGAGGAGGACGACGAGGAGGACGGGCTCCGAGGTGCGGCGCCTTTCTCGGCACACGCTCAGCGGCCTGGAGTACATCCACTCGCGCGGCGTCATCCACACGGACGTCAAGCTCGAGAACGTGCTGGTGCAGAGGCCCCCCATGGGGCGAACGAAGGTCTGGGTCGCCATCGTCACCACGTCGCCAGGGGCCCGACTCCGAAGGGGTGTTCGCCCATTTGATCCTCCTGCTTCTTTTGCCTCCTCCTCCTCCTCCTCCTCCTCCTCCTCGACACCAATGCGGCAGCGAGAGCTACCGTTAGGCAGCCGCCCCGTCGTGGTGCTCCTGCCCTTGCTGCCCTCGTGCCTCATCTTCCTCCAGGGCTGGAGGGCAGCGGAGTGTTTACCCCCAACTAGAGTGACCTTCCTGGGACGCACCTCAGAGGGTACGTGCGCTCCTCCTCCTCCTCCTCCTCCTTCAGGGGGCATGGGCTTATGTAGATGGCCAGTTGCGGCTGATGCTTGCAGACTGCAGCGCGGTGTCGGTGGATGCGTTCGGCGGCTCGTTCAACCTGCGGCAGACTGCCGTGGGGTGCACGCGCTGCGCTTGCGCGTGCGCCAAGCAGCATATTGCTTTCCTGAACGTAGTGCCTTGCAACCTCGCCGGGCTTGACGAGCCAGGGGTGAAAGGCCAGTGCGTGGGCCAATGGGTTAGCGCTGCCCCAGACGCCCACCGCGCCGCGACTCGCGAGTTCCTTGGTCCGCGCCGGAGTCTACGGGCGCACGTGGGTCGCAGTGCCCCCGACGGGTCGAACTTGCCCAGTCAGTTGCAGCGGGCCGTGAGGAGCCTGCAGCGGATACTTATGGACGACGGCGTCGCAGAGGGGCCGCGCGCCTTGGCTGCCCGCATCGCCGCCCGCAGTCGCGATGGCAGGTGGCCCTGGATTGCCAGCTCGATGTGCCTCAGCCAGAACGTCAGTGACGTGACTGAGTCCGCGGCAAGCGACGAATATTTGGAGGCGGAGATGGCCAGGCGGAAGAGCTCATTGCAGGTGGACCCCAGCCGAGCCCGACGCCGCACTTCGAACCTTACACGGAAGATTTGTGGAAGGTGTGCGTGCCGAGTGGTCTACTTGGCTTTGCAGGCCCCCTTACCGCAGATGGCGGGGCAGCAGGTGGGGGGGTGAGCTCCAGGCGGCGACGGCGACCCCCTGGCGGTGCGCCGCCCGACGGCGGCCCTGGAGACGACGACGTCGACGACTCCGACGGCGACGGCGGGGGGGAAAGCGGCGGGGGCGGCGATGGCGGCGACGGCAGGCCTCCGCCGAAGCGAGCCAAGGATGAGAGGCACCACGGGGGCCGCCATGATGCAAAGCTCCCGCGGCAATACTTAGCCGCGTCGTTGAAAAAGCCGTCGTGCCTTTCTGTGCCAGATATCTCCGAAGGGGCGAGCAGTGGCGACCCAGTTTTTTTTCAAGTCCTGGACGCGCAGCCGAAGATGGTTCTGGCCCCGGCAATCTTGGACGTGGACACAGACGAGACAATGCTTTTTCGACGCTGTTGTGCAGACGGTGGGGCAGTTCCGACCTGCAGCGGATGGGGCTGCGGCGCACCACGGGCAGTTCGATGTCTTCGCTGCGTGCGTCCCCGAGCAAGCCGATAATTTCCAAGTCGTTCGCCCCGTTGTGGATTCGAGGAACGATGTCTTGGAGTGGCAGTGCGAGAAGTCATCCGGCGTGGACGGCTGCGCATGCCCGACCGGCGGGGCGCCGGTGGGGCCCCGCATGCAGCTCGGCAGCCCGGCCGTCCCAATGCTGTGCGAATTGGACGCCCTGGGGAATGACCGCGCGGCGAAGCGTTGCGTTGTCCTGCACGATGGGTCGGGAAAACATTTTTGACCCCAGGAGCGCTATCTCCCGCAGGGGCCACATCGAGTGCGTGCTCGCTTCGGCCGGCGTGCGCGCCAGGGGGCATGCGTCTTTCAAGAGCAGCGGCAGCGAAGCCTACTGCCGTCTTCTCTTGGCGGCGCCTGGCCCGATAGATCATGGGCCGAGCGCCGCGGCGCACTGGGAGCTGCTGGCGCAGCTCAAGAGAAGAGGGGCAGCGATGGCGATGAACGTATATGTGCCCTGGATCGGCCGCCGCCGACATCGGAGCCTCGGCGCGGCCTCGGGCCAGGGCCCCGCTCGCCGATGGCGGGCGCTGCAGGCGGGCCGGGCGGCGAGCTCCCTGGATCTGACGCCGGGGTCCCGCCCAGCCCCGAGGGGCCGCCATCGGGCCCTGGTCCAGGCGCGAGCGGGAGCGACGTCGCTGGAGGATCTGGTCCTAGTTCCGACGCTGAGCCACGGGCGGAGCCCGCTTCGAGCATCGGCCACGTGCCCGCGGCGCGGGTCCCGGCCGGCCTCGTCAACGGGTGCGCCAGCAGACTCAAAGCTACGAGCCCCAGCCCCGAACACGTTAAGCGTTCCATCAGTCGTTCCACGCGCACGGATAGCGATTTCGGGCTTGATGGCGCGATGTTGTTCTTCTTCTTCAGATGTTGGTTGTGTCGAGCCTTCTTGGTGCCGGGGGGGCGCCATGTCAAGTGGGGAGCGACCAAGGCGCACATCCGAGAGTTTGCGTCGTTGGAGCCCCCATGATGCCCGTCAGCCTGGAGCTTGCGCCTCTGCGATTTCGCGAGCCGCGCAGAAGGTAGCGCAGGTCTCGGCATTCCTGTATGAGGTCATGTGGGACAGTCCTGTGAGCTGAAGAGAGTGCTATCTTGTGCATGCCACCAGTTGCACGCAATCTCAGAGCGCAGCAGTGCGACTGGGTTGGGCGGGGGGGGCTCCCGCGCAGGCAGGAGAGAGAGAGCGGCTCTGCAGCCGCCCTCAAAAGGCTTCGGGTTCTTGCCGTTCGCGCTCGCCCTGGCGCGATTCGCAAAATCCCGAAGCTGTTGAGAGCCCTTGCAACTTGAAGTTCGCCAGGCGAAGGACCCAACCATCTGCAGTTGTGAGTGCCGCAGTTGCGCGGGTCGTCGTCGGCGGAACTCCCTGTGGCGCCACAAACGTATGAGGGGCGTGCCGATTTTGGGAGGTGGGCGGGGCCACGGAACGTGTAAGGGGTGCGGTGAAACGGGAGTGGCGCCCACATGCGAACTGCACCGCGGAGACCTTCAGTGGAGCTCCCTATGGGGCCACGAAGCGCGTGAGTAGTGTGCCGAAACGAGCATGACGCCCACGTGCGAACTGCACCGCTGGGATCTTCAATGGAGCTCCCATTAGATTTCATTCGGCATCTATCTGGAATCATCTGGATATGCTGTCTGCTCGCTGACCTCGTCGCCGCCTCGTCGGGGAGAAGGCGGCGACGACGGCGTCGAAGGCGAGGGTGCAGGCGGCTGCGGGGGGAAAGAGGAAAGGAGGGAGGACTGGCGGAATACGCACAGGACAGGAGGGAGGAAGGCTGCCCATGCGGAGACAACGGAAGGAAGGAGGAGAAGAGGAAGGTGGCAGGAGGAACGGATGGACTTGGGACGCTTCCCCCTTGCCGAGAAAAAACCAGTTCCTTTCGAGGCGCATTTCGCTTGAGACATCCTCGGGCCAATCGAACACCCAACGTTGACGACGGTGACGACGACGATGGCACTTTTTCCCAACCATCCTGTGGTGCTGGGTCTTCGTTTTGACGAGACAGCGCCCCGCGTTCTTTCCTTCCTCCTCCTCCTCCTCCCCCTCCTCCTCCCCCTCCTCCCTCCTCCCATCCCTGCATCGTCTCTGTTTCGACACGCCCCTCACATGCTTCGTGGCCCCATATGGAGCTCCACCGAAGGTCTCAGTGGTGCAGTTCGCATGTGGGCGTCGCGCCCGCTTCGGCACACCACTCACCCGTTGCGTGGCCCCATAGGGAGTCTATTGGAAGTGAACCGACCCCACGACGACGGCGACGACGATGACGACGGCTGCGGCGGCCGCCGCGGACAACGACTTCGAAGTTAAAACGGCTGTTCCGCAAGACAAACCGCGCACGACCCTTGCCGCGCAGGCGCCGGGATGGGGAGGACGGGGCGCAACGGGGAGGGGGGGCGGAGGGAGGCAACGGGATGGGGGGAGGAGGTGGAAGATGGGGGGGAGGAGGTTTAAGGGGGGAGGTGGGGGAGAAGGAGGAAAAGGGAGGAAGGGGAAGAGGAGGAGGAGGAGTAGGAACACTGGGAACAAGGAACAGGAGGAGGAGGAGGAGGAGGAGGAAGAGGAGGAGGAGAAGGAGGAGGAGGATTTTTTTCCCATTCAACACTGCCCATCAGGTGATCTGAGGGAAAAAGGAACAGAGAGGCCCTCGACACGGGAGGACGCGCGACAACGAACCCACCAGAGTTAGGCGGGTAGCAATGCCGCTAGCAAGATCCTGCCCGTGGAGTGTGCCTCGGAGCCCGCATGCCCTCGACTGTACCAAAGGTCATGCGGAAAACACGCAGGCCACGGCTGCGAGCGTGTCGGGGCTGGGAGCCAAGCTCCTGTCCGCAGCGACACCTCCAACCCATGACCACGGGGCGATGGCCCCCGAAATAAAAGAGTGGGCCCCACAGCACGAAACGCACGCGTGCACGCACACGAACCGAGTGGAGGGCCAGGCGATGGGGCCAGGGACAACTCACCAGGCCTCTGCAAACGCCGTGGGAGCGACAGTCAGGGTAGACGTACCCCCGTGCTCCCCTCAAGAAACCATCACCACTGCGCACACTTCCCCCAAAGATGGGGTGCCTGACACACGTGCGGAAACGTACGAACAAACCGAAGAAGGGCTAACACAAGGACGACGAGGCTGCCCCAGGTGCTAATGCGCCTGGACGACAAGTCCTCGCCCCAGATGTACAGCCGAGCACAGGCTAAATGGCAAAAGACAACAAAATATCGACCACCCACACAAGGACGACGAGACCACCAGCCCCTGGTGCAACAAGCGCCAGGACGGCTGGTGATCTCGCCCCAGATGTGGGGTATAGCACGGATGCCTGTTAAAAGGGCCAGACGCATCGGGCCGTGCACGAAGAAAGGGACAAACACAGTGGTATACGCTAATCCAAATCGGGCATGGCTTCAACCGTAACCCCTTTGAGCTTAGGGTGAAAACCACGCTTCATGAGCCGCCAGCGATCCATATCATTGCGGCCCGTCTTGGTAGGATCGCATTGGCGGCTCAGTCGCAACACTCGTCCGAGACAGGTGTAGGCTTTACATCTGACACATACGAACAACGGCGACTGGTCACTGCACTGCAAGGCAAGGAGGCGGTGACCCAAATCCGATATACTTTGCACAGCGGGGGGAGGCTCGCCTCGGCACCCACTAGAAACAGGTCGCTCGTCGCAGCGACGGAAACGCAGACAGCACATGCAACGCCAACAGCTGCGGTACCATTCCCATTGGTGGTCGAAGTGGGGCTCGAGCGGAGGAGGAGGCGGCATGGGAATGGCACGCGACACACCTTCGAGATCGAGCTTAGGCCAGCACGGGAGGACCGCAGCGGCAACTCTGCAAACGGAACGGGCAACTTTGACGATGCGCTCAACCTGGGCCTTCTCGTCCGCACTGGCCTGCGGATGGAGGGCGGCACCTATCTTAGCAGCTCTGTCAGCGGCATCGTTGCCCAACATCAAAAATCTATCTTCAGCGGACATGTCGGCAGACTCTACAGTGTGGGCTTTCACCTTCCTCACAGCTGTCCAATGGGGAGAGGCGGAGAAAATGGCGCTGCCAGAATACTTCTTCTTATAACTGAAACGGACAGGCTCGGGCGCATCATGGGCCAGGACGACCCCTAGACAATCCGCATAGCCCGTCGTGGGCCCTTCTAGGCATTGGGCAGTAGCCGCATAGGCACTGTACTCACCCGCCTGTGAGGTTTGAGGAAACGGCCTAGACACAGCCCCCGAGACAGAGGCGATGACCTCTCCCTGGGGGTCCACAGAGACAAATCCCCAGCCCGCCCGTGACAAATCCTTGACAACGTGCTTGTAGGACGAACCGTCCCAAAAGACATCACCCGAAACTCCAACGGCGCCTGGGACGGCCCCTGGACCTCCAGCAAAAGAGTGGACGATTTTTCCAGCCTCAGCGGGCCTCGGCAACCAGTCCCCTGGATGGAGGAAAATGCCCCAGGAAAACAGCAGCTTCTCACATTCACTGCCTTCGCTGATGACCCTAACAGCTTCCTCGACGATGGCAGCATCACAAGCCTCGAGGCGCTGATCAGCTACACTCGGGCACTGCCAGAGACGGTGCATAAGCGAATCAGGAGCACCCTCGCACAGAGGGCAAAGATTATCTTGAAGCTCGTAGCCTCGCTCGATGGCGCGGTCCTTAGTCCACGTGCCGTCGCAAGCGAGCAGCCTGATGCATCCTCGATCGCGCGGCGTGCGAGCCGAGCGACGCAGTTCTGAGGGAGGAGGAGGAGGAGGAGTGAGGCCGTTGCCATTTTGGTTCGGGCTCCGTGCGCTCGGTATGGGGCGTGGCGCCTGCTTGCAGCCAACGGGCAGGCTCGAAGAGCACGCCCGCTCGGTCGGCAGGCGACCCGCGTGGGTTCTCGCCCCAGGGTGCGCCAGTTGCTCGAGGCGGGTCCTGGCATGCCGATTGGCGCTGGGAGCTCCGTCGGCGCAGTGCCCTCGAGGCCGCGATCGGCTTGTGATGTCCTGCTGGAACTGGCAAATAATCGGCCGGCCCTCCGGGCACAGATTTCCAGTCCGCCGCGCAGCCCCAGATGAAGCAGCGCTGCCGGCGATCAGACCCCATCGAGTTGATTATTTGCTGCTGGTCGCACACCAAAAGGACACCACACAAGGATCCACCCAGCGGGGGGGGAAGAAGCGGGGGAACGGCGAGGAGGATACGCAATGCCAGCACCTACAGTACAGGCGAAACGAAACGAGGCGCACTGGCGGCGGCAGCGGCGAGACCACGATGGGCGAGACAGGACGGGAAGCGCAGGAGCAGCGGACAGGAACTTTAAGAAGACGGCGGAAACACCTCAAGAGGGGAGAGCGAGGATGCACACACACAGCGCCGTTGATCTGTTGGCCCCATCTTGGAGCCTTCCGCAGGAGGCGAGGCACGAGGACGAGGACGAGGACGAGGACGATGACGAGGAGGCGGAGGAGGAGGACGAGGAGGAGGAGGACGAGGACGAGGACGAGGAGGAGGATGACGATGATGATGGTGATGATGATGATGCTGATGATGATGATGCTGATGATGATGATGATGAGGAGGAGGAGGAGGATGAGGAGGAGGAGGAGGAGGATAGGGCCGCAACCCTTTTGGCTCAAGGCCCCCTGCTCCTGGACATTGTCCTTCGGCGTACCCCCATCCCTGGCGGGCGTGAGGTCCTTGGAGGGGCAGGGCTTTTGTCTCACGGAGGACTTGTTCGGGACTCCGCTGGCCCTTCGCGGGGAATGTGCGGCGACTTCTCGTGGTGGCACGGCTGGCGCAGAGGCTTCAGCAGATAGTCTGCTTCGCAGGCTTGGCGAGGTCGCTCTTCGTGAAGGGGGGATCCAGCAGTTGCACCAGGTGCTCGAGCCGCTCACTGGTGACACTGAAGTCGCCAACCATGTATGTGCTGCTCCCTCAGCTCTCGGCGCTGGTGGCCGGGAGGCAGCCCAGCTGGCTCAATCGGCTTCGCAGGAACGTCGGCCTGAACGCGAAGTTCGTCACGGACCAGCTGTCCATGGCCCCAAGGCGCTTGAGACGCCAAGCTCAGGCGGGGCCCAGCCCAGGCTGGACGGCAGTGGCGGATCGGGCCCCGAGGCGACACGATCCTCGGGCACTGCGGTCATTGCGAATGCCCCAGCTTTCCCCGAAGGCTGGGTGGCGCCTGGCCGCTGGTTCGGGGTGTGGGAACCCATGGCCGGCCAGGAGCCGCTCGCAGATGTGCTTGCTCTTCAGCGGCAGCGACGAGATCTGAGGACCTCCGCAAGAGGGGTCGTGCTTGGCGGCTGGTTCCGTCGCAAGACGACGGTCGAGGACATGCAGGCGACGGACTTTCGCAGGAAGGTGGGAACTGCTCACACGCACGTCCTCGAGGTAGAGGCACAGACGAGGACCTAGAGGCAAGGGCGTTCTGGCTCATCAGGTCGTCTGCTTGTGCGGCGCCGTGCGCACTTGGATGCCTCTCCCAGGCTGGTCGCCGCGGCGGGCAAGAACTCAGAGGCCGGGCAGAAGGCGAGGCAGGCTGCTCCCCTCCTCCTCCTCCTCCTCCTCCTCCTCCTCCTCCTCCTCCTCCTCCTCCCTCTGCTCGCCGACGCTGCGTGAGAGAGCCTGTCCCGCCTCAGCAGGTTGCAGGACTGGCCATGGTATCCACGCGCTGCGAAGGTGCGCGACCGGGCTTCGTTTTGTGAAGACATGCCGTTGGCGACCCAGGTTGGCAAATAGGTGTGACCGGAGCGATTTTTCACATCCTCCTTGCGGGTGTTTCGCAATGCGGTTGCAATGCGAGTGCCTTCCCGATTCTTCGTAGAGTCGTATGAGGGTGGCTCGCCTGGTCCTTTGCGAGAGAATTGAACGTGGTCTCTGTTGTACTTTGGACAGTGGCACATTTGGGCGAGAGAGCTGCGTTTCGCGCTTCCTGAGCTCCGCACTTCTATCGGCAGCGAGTCGGCCTCCATCGTCTTCCGGGTTCCCACGCCTTTTTGCCTTTCATTGTTCCTCGACTGGTCTTGGGACGCAGCCGGGGATCCGTGAACCCGATGGTGTGGCGAGGGAATGGGAGAAGGAGGAGGGGAGGGAGGAGGAGGACGAGGAGGAGGAAAAAGAGGAGGAGGAGGAGGAGGAGGAGGACAAGAAGGAGGGGGAAAAGGAAAAAAGCAGGAGAGGGAGGAGAACAATGAGGAGGCTGAGGAGGTTGGAGAGAAGGAGGCCTCCACGAAAAACGCGAAAACGTCCACCGTCCCTGGCCGCTTGCGGACCCGCGCGCCGCATTCCCAGGCACGACTTCGCGGAGCTGCTGTGCGAGGCGCGCAGGGCACACCGGGCCTTCATGGAGCAGAAGAAGGCCGCCCCGCCAGGGCCAACTGCGGTCCGATCGGGCTGGTTCGATGCAGTCAAGTAGTACCGTCAGGACGAGTCGCTTGTCAAGGGTACCCTTTTGTCCTTACAACTTCGGCGAGTCCTTAAACCACGACCGCTTACAAGTTTTGCTCACAAGGCTTCCACTTGGGCATTCCGGGCCCATGCGTCCTTACCGAGCATCCCTATGATCCAATCGCGCTGTATGTGGGAGAGGAATGGTGCTGTCTGTGAGGAAAGAACGAGGAGGACAAAAGGGAATGATAAGGAGTTCGCTCGACTGCGATCGAGCCAGTCTGAAGGATGGCGCCTGCTATGGCGCTACTGGGTTCCGCCTGGTTGAAGGGCGGCATGCGTTACACCAGGACGCATGCCGAGCGCAATCCGAGCCATGACCTGCTCTCCGTGCCGTGCGCGCACTTCGTTGCAAGGTGGGCCGAGGGTTCGCGCTGCATCGGTCGTCATCCCACGCGTGCTCAAGGCAGCATGCCGTCCCTGCATCAGCGGCAAAGGCGGAGCAAGAGGAGGAGGAGGAGGAGAAGGAGGAGGAGGAGGCGGAGGAAGACAATGGTGAGAACGAGGAGGGGGATGAGGAGGAGGCAGGAGGAGAAGGAGGAGGAGGAGAAGGAAGAAGGAGGAGGACAGAGAATGAGGAGGGGATGGGAGAGATGATGTTAGGTTGGAGGGGGGAGGGAGGGGAAGAGGGAGGAAGGAGGAAGGAGGAGGGAGGATGAGGACGAAAGCGAGGGCGAGGACGAGGATGTGGTTGGGGATGGGAATGATGATGGGGATGCTGATGATGATGACGATGATGATGAGGATGAGGATGAGGATGATGATGCTGATCATGATGACGATGACGACGACGGCGATGCTAACGCCGACGACGATGACGATGACGACGATGACGATGACGATGACGATGAGATGATGATGATGATGATGATGATGATGATGATGCTGATGATGATGATGATGATGATGGTAATGATGCTGATGCTGATGCTGATGACGATTCTTTTCATGAGGATGATGATGGTGTTGGTGATGATGCTGATGATTTTGATGATAATAAGGACGACTATGTTGGTGCTGTAGATGATTACACCGCACTCACTTCTATACGCCTGGGTGGGTGTGTGTGCGGCCGTTTTTGCACGGGCATGTGCGTGCATACGCGCAGCATGTGCCAGGCATGTGCTGATGCGGATGATGACGATGCTGATGATGCTGATGATGATGCGCAGCATGTGCCAGCATCTGCTGCTGCTGCTGATGATGATGCTGATACGGATGATCATTATGAGGCTAACGATGACGATGCTGATGATGCTGCCGATGATGATCGTGATTATGGCGATGTTGATGCTGATGATTTGGATGATCATGCTGATGAGGATGTTGGTTGTGATGATGATGATGTTGGTGATAGTGACGATAATGACGACGATGATGCCGACGACGACAATGACGATGATGATGCTGATGATGGCGATGCTGATGAGGATGATGATGATGCTGATGCTGATTAGGATGACGATGCTGATGATGATGACGCTGACGGTGGTGATGTTGATGTTGGTGTGAGAATGACGGCGATGCTGATGAGGATGATGATGATGCTGATGACGATGATGCTGATGATGACGATGTTGCTGCTCCTGCTGCCGCTTCTGCAGATAACGTTGATGCCGATGATGCTGATAATGATGATGATGATGAAGATGAGGAGGATGATGATACTGATGCAGATGATGATGATGATGATGATGATGATGATGATGATATTGATGAGGATCATGATGAGGATGCTTTTGAGGATGTTGATGAGGTTGATGCTTATGATGAAGAGGATGATGATGACGATGAGGCTGATGATGATGCTGATATCGCGCTGATGCTGATGATGCTGATGATGCTGGTGATGGCGTTCACGAATTGTGATGATGACGCTGATGCTGCTGCTGAGGATGATGATGATGGGGTGGTGGTGCGGCTGCGGATGATGAAGATGACGATGATGGCGGTGGTGGTAACGATGCTGATGCTGATGCTGATGCTGATGATGATGGTAGTGGTGGTGGTAACGATGATGATGAGTATGCTGCTGACGATGATGCTGATGATTGCGATGCTGATACGTTGATGATGCCGACGATGATGATGCAAAAGAAGATGATGATGCTGCCGATGACGACGATGATGCTGACGATGATGCTGCTGCTGATGAGGCTGCTGATGCTGATGCTGTTGATAGTGATGCTGATGGTGGTGGTGGTGGTGGTAATCCGGAGGAGGAGGATGAGGACGAGGAGGAGGAGGAGGACAAGGAGGAAGAGGAGGAGGGGGGAGGAGGAGGGAGAAGGAGGAGGAGGGAGAGGAGGAGGAGGAGGAAGAGGAGGAGGAGGAGGAGGAGGAGGAGGAGGAGGAGGAGGAGGAGGAGGAGGAGAAGGATGAGGAGGAGGCGGAGAGGGAGAAGGAGGAGGAGGAGGAGAGGAGGAGGAGGAGGAGGAGGAAGGAGGAGGAGGAGGAGGAGGAGGAGGAGGAGGGGGGGAACGTGAAGAAGACCGCGAGGAGGAGCGCGAGGAGGAGGAGGAGGAAGACCGCGAGGAGGAGCGCGAGGAGGAGGAAGACCGCGAGGAGGAGCGCGAGGAGGAGCAGGACCCTGCCAGCAGAAGTCTGAGAGAGTGAAGCTGGCCTCGGTGACGCTGGGAGAGCACGCAGGAACTGTGCAATCTCAGCGGCTGTTGACCGAGCGAAGGGTAGACCATATCGCACGATCATCCTCCCAGAAAGAGGTGAGCGAGGGGTCTCGGGGTGGGCGGGTCGGCCGAAGGACAGGCTCCCGAGCTGCCTATGCCTCGTTCGTAACATCCCGAGCGGCTGCTCCTGCTGCAGCTCTCCCTCTCTGGCCGCCCTGCCCCCGCGCCACGGGGAGCCCTTCGAGTCCCCGCACCCCGTGCTGGCCGCCTGAGTTGACACTGCACCGCCCTTCGGGGTGTCGCTCCATGTTCCGCCTCCTCCGCCTCCTGCTCCTCTCAAAGTCAGCCGCAGAGCTGCCCGAAAGGTCGCGGTAAGGTGGAGCAATGGCCTCGTGAGGCGTTCGGCCTTCTCTTCCTCCTCACTCCAACTCTGCTCATCCTTCGTTGCCCCTATTCGGTGCTTTTCCCTATCCTCCTCTTTTCTTTCCCTGCCTCCCGCTCCTCGTCCTACCTCTCGCGCTGCACGCTGTGGTGTAAACCATTGCCCAGGTCCAGCGTGACTGAATGCCCAGTGGCTAAATTGCCCTTTCCTCTCAGTCTCGAGTCTGAGGTTGCAAAGGGGCAGTGACTGTTTACATAAGCCATCGCTCGCGGGACAGTGCGTCTGGGTGGCTCGACGCTTCGATTCTATTCGTGCGCACGGCATTTCGACCCCTGCGCCTGGTTGCCCTGGCCTTCGCCAGGCAGCCACGTCACTTGCAAGGCTGGCTTGCAGCTGCAGCCATGGGCTGGCCTGAGGCGAGCCTGTGGGTGCGATGTTGGTCAGAACCTGTAGGGGCGGGTGGTGGCTCTCCTCCACCCTTCGTTGTCGCTAGCTTGTTCTTGCACAGTCGCACGTTGGCTAGAAGGGATGAGTCGTTCGCCCTTTTGTCTCCTCTTAATCTGTTATCACGGGGTGTTCCCACTCAGTGGCCGTCCTTTCACAATTGTGGGTGGCTAGCGATTTCAGTTGCTGGCATCTCACCCTGCTGTTGTTTGCCTTGACTATTCTGTCACGACCGGGACCGCTGGCGGCCACGGGGGATCATTTTCCTCGTCGTGTGGCGGGCCGCGCTTGGCAGAACTTGTTTTCCCTCAGCTTGATTTCTTGCGATGCCCACGTTGAGAAACATGTGCTGCGGAACATCCTCCGCCCTTTTCACCCTCTTCTCTTCCTCCCACCCGCAAGCCACCCCACCATAAAGATCATTTCTCCTTTCCTTGCAAGAAGATCGGTTCAAACGACGACGAGGACGACGACGACGGCGACGACGAGGACGACCGCGCAATAGCACAGTGGCGGGACAGGCACAGGCCAAGTAGAAGTAAAAGGCAACGCGCACATAGGTGTCCCTTCGTGTGTGTCCCGCAGGCTGTCATCCGCATTGTGTCGAGGCGTGTTTGTGCGAGTGCTCGGTTTCTCGCCCGCGGGCGCGTCGCGGGCTGCCCCTCGTCTTCCCCTCCCCCCGGGGCGCTTCTTGTGCTCGCCTCGGGCTTCTGCTTGGTTCTTTGGAGGTGTATCTGCGTTCGGAGGTCTTCCGAAGGTTCGCCCCGGCGCTCCTTCTACCTCCAGTTGCGCGGGATCGGGCCCAGCGATCGCCTAGCACCGCGCCCAGGCTACTTGGCCGCGGGGCGGCGGGCTTCCACGCGTCGGGCGGTCTTGGGCGCGCGGCGCCAGAGGAGGGCCTGGGTGGGGGCGGCGACTGGCGGGTCTTGGCCGCGCAGCGTCGATGGCGCGGCCACCTACTTCGAGGGCGGCGGAGCCTCCGGAAGTCGGCCCTCGGCGCGGCCCTCGATGCCAAACCTCTCCGGGGGCGTCGCCCCGTGGCGGTCGGGGCGGATCGGCAGCTGACGTCGGAGTTGGGTGGGTGCCGTGCAGGGGCGGTCGTGAGGGCTCCACAGATCTTCGTCGGCCTCGTGATCGTTTGGGAGAGGGTCGCGGTGGCGACCGGCAGCCCGCGCGCGTCAGGTATTACGCGGGTGTGCGGTGCATCAGGTATTGGGTCTCGCTGCGCGCTGACGACGTGCAGTGGGCGGCAGTGGGGGGCGGTGGGCGGGGAGGGGTGGCCAGGCGCCGAGCACTTCCCCCCCTTGCCCAGCCGCGACCTGGGCGGGGTGGTCGATAAGTCGGCTATGGAACGATGGGGGGCCCAAAAATATACACGACCACCACCTCCCTCCCCACCTCCCTCTCGTTGGAAAGAGGAGAGAGGAGGAATCGACGTGGTGGTGGTGGTGTACATTCTTTGGGCCCCTCAACGACTGAGCGGCAAGCGCGTCGGCGGCCCTTTGGCGGGGCCGCTCCACGATCGACTGGCCAGGCCGCTGGTCCTCCACTTCTGTCGGAGGCCTGCGTCGGGGCGCAGCGCGTCGTGGTCGTTCGGCTCCGGACTGAGCTGGCGTGCTTCGTCCGCGCGGGCCGGGTGGGCCCAGGGGGAGTTCGTGAGGAACAAGGGCTGCCATGAGGAGGCGATCGGGCAAGTGGCCGAGGGCCTCGGGTGTGCGCGGGCCTCGTACTAGACGACGAGGGCGAGGCGAAGGCTGACGCCATCGCGGAGCCCGCGACGTCCTGTGAGGAGGGCGCGCCGCCGCAGGGGCACGCGATCTCGGTCTCGCTGAAGGGGCTCTCGACGCCGCGGCGCCGCCGAGTGATGATTGCCTGGCTGGAAGGATTTTGGCATGTAGACCTCAGTGGCGGTGCCCGCATGCGGTTCCCCCACCCAGTGCACATTTTCGTGGCCCCATATGGAGCTCCACCGAATGCCTCAGTGGCGGTGTCCGCATGCGTTCACCCACCAAGCACAGCGGTTCGTGGCCCCGTAGGGACCTCCAACGAAGGCCTCATTGGCGGTGTCCGCATGCGGTTCCCCCACCCAGTGCAGCGTCTCGCGGCCCCATAGGGATCTCTACAGAAGGCCTCAGTGGCGATGACCGCGTGAGGTTCCCCCACCCATCAACGCGTTTCGTGGCTCCATAGGAAGCTCCACCGAAGACCTCAGTGGCGGTGTCCGCATGCGATTCCCATGCGGCTCCCCACCCAGTGTAGCGGTTCGTGACCCCATAGGGAGCTCCACCGAACGCCCCAGCGGCGGTGCCCGCATGCGGCTCCCCCACCCAGTACAGCGTCTCGTGTCCCCATAGGGAGCTCCACCGAAGGCCTTAGTGGCTGGGTCCGCATGTTTTTCCCCTTCCAGTACAGCGTTTCGCGGGCCCGTAGGGAGCTCCACCGAAGACCTCAGTGGCGGTATCCGCATGCGGTTCCCCCACCCAGTACAGCGCTTCGTGGCCCCATAGGGAGCTCCATCGAAGGTCCAGTGGCGGTGTCCTCAGGCGGTTCACCCACTCAGTACAGCGTTTCGTGGACTACGGGGAGCTCCACCGAAAGCGATACCCACACCTGCGGTACTCACAACTGCATATGGTTGGGTCTTTCGCCCAGCTAATTTTCCCCTGCCTTCTTTGCCCTTCGCGTGCGGGAAGCGTGAAAGGAGGCAATTCTTTCTGAGGAGCAGGTGCGACAGAGTGATTTTCGTGCCGAGTGGCGTAGGCATCTGGCTTGGGTTCTGCAGGGCCGCCCTCCCTCCAAGAAAGGTTTCGGGGTTGCTCAGGCCACCGTGTTGTCGGGACCTGCTCGGGAATACCTCTTACACTGGCGTTACTAAATGTTCGTCGTGCATTGAGATTGAATCATCTTGCGTTGGCAGGGCAGTATCCCGCCCGGTGGGATTTCTAACATCGTTTGTTTTACGTCGGGATCTTTTACATACCCCGTTTCATGTATGTTTTATTCCGTAGTGATCGGAGAAATTCCAGACATAGAAATCCCAGATCTTTGATCCGACCGCTCTTGACCCAGCGCGCTAGGATTCTAGGGGGGAGAAGGGGGGCAGCTTGGCGCGGTCGGGACGGCTCCGCCTTCGCCCACTCGCTCGCGCGGAAGTAATGGACGAAACCTGCATCACCTTGACGCTCCCATGAAACCTGACGAGCTTTTGTAGCGGCGTCGTGCGCAGTATGGGTCTGGACGACCCGCCTGCGATCGTTCAGCCGCGCGCCAGGGCTTCTCGTGCCGCTTCGTTGGGAGGGGGGGGATTGCTTGGGCCGCGGCTGGGGTCGACCTTCAGCGTGGCCTTGCACTGTTTGTGTTCCGCTGTCGGGAGGAGGGCGAATCTCTCGGGGCTCGTGCGCGGGAGCGCCGGCGGCAGGTTTTGTGCCGCCCCGGAATACCTTAACCCCTGAAGTCGCTTTGGAGTTCAGTTTGTATGCGTGCGAATGTGGTGGCACTTTTCCAGCCGTTGCCGGGCCCCTCGTCGTCGTCATCGTCGTCGTCGTCGTCGTCCTCCACCTTCTCCTCCTCCTCCTCCTCCTCCACCACCTCCTCCTGCTCCGCCTCCTCCACCTCTTCCTCCTCCTCCTCCTCCTCCTCCTCCTCCTCCTCCTCCTCCTCCTCCTCCTCCTCCTCCTCCTCCTCCTCCCCCCTTGCTCGTCTTCGTCCTCGTCCTCTGCGTCCTCCTCCTCGTCCTCCTCCTCGTCCTCGTTCTCCTCCTCACTTTCACTCCTCGAACCAGGGCACCGTCGATCTCCTCTCGAAGGCGCAGAAGAAGCGGATGAAAAAAAAGGAGAAGAAGACCGCGGGCAAGGCCGCCCACGAGGGGTGGGTGGGTGGACGGGAGGAGCGGCCATGAGCAGCGACGGCAGATACACTGGGTCCTCCTTCCATGCTCATCACCTCCCCTCTCTCCATCCTCCTCCATCCTCCCTCCATTGTCCCCCTATCTTTCCTCATCACCTCTCCTCCCTTCTCCCTCCTCCATCCCCAGTCATCATCCCCCCTCCCCCCTCCCTCCCTCTATGCTCATAATCTCTAGGGCTCCAAAACGGCCCAAAGACGGCCCCTTCAGAGCCTGAGATGGCCTCCAGACGGTCCAAGGGAGCCTCGAGACCGCTCCAGAGGGTCCAAGAGGGCCCTCGAGAGGGCCTCAGGAGACCAGCAATCGTGACTTCCTTAGGGCTTTTCGAAGTTTGTCGGGTTTTCATTTTTTCGGGCCCAGAAGGGCCCAACACTGCCCACGAGGTCCTAAAGCTCGTCCCAAAACGGCCCCAGAGGCCCCCCAAAGGAGCCGAAAACTATCCAAGAGGGCCCCGTCTGGCCCCAGAGGGCCCCCAAACGGCCCAAGAGGTCGTCAAGACGGCCCCAAGAGGATCCCAAGAGGATCCCAAGAGGGAGGGTCCCAAGAGGCTCCCAAGAGGGCCCGAAGAGCCCACGAGGGCCCCAAGACGGCCCAAAAGGGCTCCAAGACGGCCCCAAGAGAGCTCCAAGAGGGCCCCAAGAGGCTCCCAATGGGGTCCGAAGAGGCGGTGTGGGGACTGGGCTGCTTGGGTGTGGGGACTGGGCTGGCCCCAAGACGGCCCAAGAGGGCCAAAACGGCCCAAAGAGGGCCCTCAAAAGCCCCAGAGACGCCTAGTAACTCCATGGCTCCCAACAGCGAGCGGTGACGTAACAAGCTCTGAACACCAAGGCTCCCCAGAGCGCGGTGACGTAACAAGCTTTTAACAGCAAGGCACCAAAAGAGCGAGCGGCAGCGCAAAAGTCTGTGAACGCCAGGGCTTCCAACAGAGAGCGGTGACGCAACAAGCTCTTCACGCCAAGGCTCCCAAGAACGAAAGGTGTCGGGAGCCATCTCGGGCAAGTTATTGCAGCGCTCTTTCCGTTCCCGTGCCGGCCCACGTGAGGGAAAGAGCGAGGTACGAGTGATGTACGTTGAGTTGGGGCGAAGCCCTCTAGGGAGGAGTCCAGGGGAGGGGCGAGGCCCAGGTGCATGGGTGTAATGGCCGCCTGGGGGCCGCTGCCCTGTTTTTCTTTTGTTGGAGTGAAACGGCTCGAGGGCCCCAAAACGTCCCAAGAGGGATCCAAAACGGCCCAAAGACGGCCCCTTGAGAGCCTGAGATGGCCTCCAGACGGTCCAAGGGAGCCTCGGGACCGCTCCAGAGGGTCCAAGAGGGCCCTCGAGAGGGCCTCAGGAGGCCAACAATCGTGATTTCTTTAAGGTTTTTGTTCGGATTTTTTCGGGTTTTCATTTCTTCGGGCCCAGAAGGGCCCAACACTGCCCGAGTCCAAAAACCGCCCCAGAGGCCCCCCAAAGGGGCCGAAAACGGTCCAAGAAGGTCCCGTCGAGCCCAAGAGGGCCCCCGAACGGCCCAAGAGGTTGTCAAGACGGCCCCAAGAGAGCCACAAGAGGCTCCCAAGAGGGCCCGAAGAGCCCACGAGGGCCCCAAGACGGCCCAAAAGGGCTCCAAGACGGCCCCAAGAGAGCTCCAAGAGGGCCCCAAGAGACTCCCAAGAGGGTCCGAAGAGGCGGTGTGGGGACTGGGCTGCTTGGGTGTGGGGACTGGGCTGGCCCCAAGACGGCCCGAGAGTCCCCAAACGCTCCAAAATGGCCCCAAAAAAGATTCCCAAGAAGCCCCAGAGACGCCTAGTAATGCCATGGCTCCCAACAGCGAGCGGTAACGTAACCAGCTCTGAACACCAAGGCTCCCCAGAGCGCGGTGACGTAAAGAGCTCTGAACGGCAAGGCACCAAAAGAGCGAGCGGCAGCGCAAAAGTCTGTGAACACCAGGGCTCCCAACAGAGAGCGGTGACGCAACAAGCTCTTAACGCCAAGGCTCCCAAGAACGAAGGGTGTCGGGAGCCATCTCGGGCAAGTTATTGCAGCGCTCTTTCCGTCCTCGTGCCGGCCCACGTGAGGGAAAGAGCGAGGTACGAGTGATGTACGTTGAGTTGGGGCGAAGCCCTCTAGGGAGGAGTCCAGGGGAGGGGCGAGGCCCAGGTGCATGGGCGTAATGGCCGCCTGGGGGCCGCTGCCCTGTTTTTCTTTTGTTGGAGTGAAGCGGCTCGAGGGCCCCAAAACGTCCCAAGAGGGATCCAAAACGGCCCAAAGACGGCCCCTTGAGAGCCTGAGATGGCCTCCAGACGGTCCAAGGGAGCCTCGAGACCGCTCCAGAGGGTCCAAGAGGGCCCTCGAGAGGGCCTCAGGAGGCCAACAATCGTGATTTCTTTAAGGTTTTTGTTCGGATTTTTTCGGGTTTTCATTTCTTCGGGCCCAGAAGGGCCCAACACTGCCCGAGTCCAAAAACTGCCCCAGAGGCCCCCCAAAGGGGCCGAAAACGGTCCAAGAAGGTCCCGTCGAGCCCAAGAGGGCCCCCAAAACGGCCCAAGAGGTTGTCAAGACGGCCCCAAGAGAGCCACAAGAGGCTCCCAAGAGGGCCCGAAGAGCCCACGAGGGCCCCAAGACGGCCCAAAAGGGCTCCAAAACGGCCCCAAGAGAGCTCCAAGAGGGCCCCAAGAGACTCCCAAGAGGGTCCGAAGAGGCGGTGTGGGGACTGGGCTGCTTGGGTGTGGGGACTGGGCTGGCCCCATGACGGCCCGAGAGTCCCCAAACGCTCCAAAATGTCCCCAAAAAAGATTCCCAAGAAGCCCCAGAGACGCCTAGTAATGCCATGGCTCCCAACAACGAGCGGTAACGTAACCAGCTCTGAACACCAAGGCTCCCCAGAGCGCGGTGACGTAAAGAGCTCTGAACGGCAAGGCACCAAAGAGCGAGCGGCAGCGCAAAAGTCTGTGAACACCAGGGCTCCCAACAGAGAGCGGTAACGCAACAAGCTCTTAACGCCAAGGCTCCCCAGAGCGAAGGGTGCCATAAGCCCTCGCGGGCAAGTTCTTGCAGCGCTCTTTCCGTTCCCGTGCCGGCCCAGGTAACGGAACGAGCGAGGTACGAGTGATGACGTTCCTGTGTGGGGGCCCTCTAGGGAGGGGTCCACGGGAGGGGCGCGGGGGGGAAGGATGATTGCAATGGCCGTCCGGGGGCCGCTCCCCACATTTTTTTTTCGAGTGAAGCGGCTCGTGGGCGCCTTCCATGGCATGTTTCCTCGTATTTTTTCAAGTGAAGCGGCCCAAGGGCCCCACGACGGCCCAAGAGGGCCCCCGAACGGCCCAAGAGGGCACCAGGACGGCCACAAGAGAGCCTGAGATGGCCTCCAGACGGTCCAAGAGAGCCTCAAGACGGCTCCAGAGGCCCTCAGGAGGGCCCTCGCGAGGGCCTCAGGAGGTCAAAAACATTGATGTTCCTTGGGGTTTTGCAGTTTTTTCGGGTTCTCGCCTTTTCGGGCCAGGAACGGCCCAAAACGTCTCCAGAGGCTCCAAAGATCGTCCCAAGACGGCCCAAGAGGCCCCCAGCAGGAGCCCCAAGACGGCCCAAAAGAGCCCCAAGACGGCCCAAGAGGGCTTCAAGATAGCTCAAGAGTGTCCCAAGATGGCCCCAAGAGAGGCCCAAGAGGGGACACGCGAACCGACAATCCGAGCTTTCCCCAAAATGCCCCCAGTAGGCCCCAAGAGACCCCCAGGGGGCCACAAAAGGCCCCCAAGACGCCCCAGAAGGGCTTCAAAACTGCGTCCCAAGGCCTTGATTTAGCCTTGGCGAACGAGTTTCGGGTCCCAAACCGTCACCAGGAGAAGGGTGTGGTGGAAAGAAGGAGATTGAACCATGATCCAACGGGACACGCCCGCACAAGGACGAACATGAGAGGGAGGCGGAGAGACCAAAAGGGACGGGTGAGGCAGGAACAACGGAACACAAGGGAGAGGGAGTAATGAGGAAAAAGGGGACCATATTGTGGACGAAGGCTAAGAAAACAACATACTGCAGGAAAAGGCAATGATAAAGCAAACTGGGGGACGGTAGCCACGACACGTTGAGTGAAGCAAGCCGGCTGGTTGGACAGTGAGGAATCCTACGTGCTCAGATTCGGCCTTCCCAGCGCTTGGGGCTACCTAGGAACAGAGCGCGCGCGGAGCGCGCGCGAATGTTTTAAGTGTATATATAGACGTTTCCAGAGTTGTAGACGTTTCCAGAATTGAATACATATATATATATATATATATGTTTACGCATGTGTATACATGTGTATTCATACATCGATACACATATACACATAATGTAGCACCCCGCGCTTGCGGGTAAGAGTGCATGTGCGTCGGCGCTCTCGCCGAAAGCTTTCGCCAAGGATCCCTCGCCCAGGACCCCCGCCCAGGACCCCCCGCCGAGGACCCCCTGCCCAGGACCCCTTGCCCAGGACCCCCTGTCGAGCAGGAACAGGCCCACAACGGCCACGCACGCCCAGGGATGAAGGAAAACCGTTCGGGTACCCTCGCTCTGATGGATGGTCTCCCTCTCTCCCGACCTTCTCCTCAGGCACAGCACTGCTTTCTCGGCCTCCCCCAGGGGTGCCGAGGGCAGCGAGGCCCGTAGTGCGTCAGCGTACCCGTGCACCAGGCTGTTTTCCTTGCGGCACTCGTCATTGAGGTCCGCCCTTCGTCGTCGGCGCGCCCAGGCGCGAAGTCAGAGGAGGCGGGCCTTCTCACAAGGCTCAGACAGCCTCCTGTGGCCCCACAAAAGACGCTACCCTAGACAGCTTTGCGGGGGTTGGGGAGAGCGCGGGGAGCGCTGCTCATTGGGTAGGCCCGCACCCGCGGGGCGGGCGCGCGACACCTTGCTCGCGTCGCCGCGCCCCGCGGGAGCGCGCGGGTGCGGCGACACCCCGCAACCCGCCCCAACCACAGGAGCGGCGAAGGGTGAGGGGAAAA